CCCTTCTCCTCCATTCTCCTCTCGGGATCCTGGGCACGCACGCACACGCGCCCGGCGTGAGTTTTAAGCCACCGGGTCCGGGACACGAACCACGGTCGACTACGTGGGAGTCCAACGACATAGCCATTACGCTAACTGCTGGTTCCCACGTCACCTTTTCTAACACACCCATTCCCTCCCTGCACCAGCCAGGCTTCTCCGCATGTCTGCCATGGGGTGTGTGGCTGTCCTCACCGGGCTTTGCAGGGCCCCGAGGCAGGAGCTGGGTGCACTGCCCCCACGACCTCGTACCTGGGCCACAGGCGGGGGTGGGGGGGGGGAGTGGATCCACATCAGTGCTGTAGAGAGGACACAGCTGGGGCTGTCCATTGAGGGCCCCCAGGGACGCTGGTTGGCCGGGTCAGAGGGCCAGTCCTGCTCACACACGTGCCCTGAGGGATCCTTCCCCCTGCTGTTTGGAGAGGTCAGGGGTCAGCCCAGCCCCTCATGCATAATAAAGCAGCACTTACATGTCAGCTTTCTGCTGGGGAGGGAGGGCCACCAGAGGAGAGGCCTAGCAAGGGGACTAGACCCAACTGGGAAGTGATTACTTACATTTTAGAAGATTTCTTCATAAATCCAGCAAGTAACTGAAGCAGCCACCAGACTGCCTGAGGAACCTGGTAGGCACGGCCACTCTGGCACACCCTGCTGTCAGCGTAAGCAGACCACACCACGTAATAAGCAGCCCCGCTCGTCGGGGGCATGAAGTACAGAGACTCACGCTGTGGTGAACCGCAGACGGCTCGGCTCCTGGGTGTCCTCGCTCCAGGACACCTACCAACGCCACAGGTCAACAGCCCCTGCCTGTCTTCATAAGTGGAAGCTTTGCTGGGGCACGTCCACAGCCTGTTACCACCTGGGGCTGTTTTCAGACCGTGACACAGTGCAGGGTGGTCATGACAGAGGTTGTCAAGTGCTTGAAAACACGCCCTGAGCCCTGGTGCAGAAGCTGCAGTGCCCAGGGCAGGAGTCCCTGTGGCTTCTCATGGAGGGACACACGTCCCTCTGCTCAAGGCTCATTGGCCAACGCCAACCCCACAGCTCTGCTCTGTGGGAGGGGCAGGACACCCAGTCCAACGGGGAGCCTGAGGAGGACACAAATGCTGGCTCTTGGCCCTGGGGGGGACTGTCACCCAGAGGCTGTGCTCGTCTGTGTCTGTCTTTGCTACTGAACAGATGGGAGGCTCGGAAGGACCAGGCTGCTGTCTGCAGAAGGAGACCTCAAAGGAGAAGCAGCCCGTGGACAGCAGTGCAGGAGGGGCAGCCGTGGACGGCAGTGCAGGAGGGACAGCCCGTGGACGGCAGTGTAGGAGGGGTGGCCGTGGACGGTCGTGCAGGAGGGGCGGCCGTGGTCAGCAGAGCAGGAGGGGCAGCCAGGATGGCCTGAGTTCCCTTGGACTGCCGTGGGGTGCGAGCTGTTCTGAGGGCTGGGTACCCTGCATTTGAGGAGGTAACACGCCCAGGAGCATGGTCTAATATAGGGCGCACCCCATCCAGCCAAGAACACGCTCCTGGGCCAGGCCTCATCTGCCTCTTGGCTCCGCAGAAGCAAGCCCCAGGGATTAGGAAATGCCCGTCAGAGCCAGAAGGGGAGGTGTTTGAAATTCTGCGGGGAGAAAATCAGAAGAGAGCATTTCTCAAGTGTCTTCGTGTCTTGAGAAGTAAATTAGAAGAGCTCGGCATGGAAGCTTCCGGGCGTTTTTAAAATGCATCGCCATCTGCCATTTGTCTCCAAGAGCGGCCCCATGCTGGCCGGTCTTATCTCTGCCGCACGACCTGGATCGCGCGCTAAGCGGCGGAAGTGCTGGGAAGGTGCTGAAGACCCGTGGACGTCGCCGCCCCGGGCGGGCACCGAGATTGCCTCGTCATCCATCAACTGCTTATCAGCTTCGCAGCCTTCTGGCTCCGGACTCAGCGGCCTGCATGGCAGAGCACCTGGGCTTATATTTAGCATTTTCAGAAAGTTATGAATTTATTATCTGCCTTAGGAGGAGGGGGAAGCTACAAAGCGAGCTCGTGGTGAGTACCGGAAAATCTCACTGTGAGGGTCTCACACAAGGCCTGACTTCTGCACTCCAGGTGTAGCTGCACATGCGCCACTCCCCGGCCAGGGCCTGCGAGGTGGGGACAGAGGAGCCGTGGCCGTCGGCGTGGGCCGTGGCCGGGCTCTGCTCGTCGCAGCACTTCTCATGCCTGTGACGATACAGGGACCACGTCCACAGGCCGTCCCCTGGGAGATGCAGGGAGGGCCGTGTCGGGGAAGGTCCTGGGGTCACCGTGGCACCTGGCAAGTGCCCAGGGGCTCTGGGTGGGCATGTGCTGGCCCAAGGATGCCAGGGGAGCTGCAGGTTGCCTCAGTTCTTAGGTGGCTCTGGTGCTGATGGGCAGAGGGGTGACGGACCAGCCTGGAGGACCCGTGGGGTACCCTGGAGACAAGCACAGAACCCGCGTGTGCTGGCGAGGCTTAAAGGACAGGGTGCAGGCAGCCCAGGGGAAGAAAGGACGGCGCTGGGCACAGGAGCCAGGGCGTCAGGGGACCACTCCTAGGCGTCTTGTCTCTCAGGGCTTTGGCGGCTGCACAGGAGGATGATGGGAGAGATGAGAGGCGCCCCTCCTCATCCCATCTCCCTCCACACTGGCCGTTACCCCCAGCCATCATCTGTCCATAGCGTGGACCCCGTAACCCCGTGGCCAGCCCCGTGTCCCCATAAGCCTTCACCCCAGGCTGGCTAGGCCTCTGCTGGCCCTCATGATGTCCCGCCATCTGTCTACACATTCTGCCCGGGGGCCTCTGTGGCCAGGGGTGCCCCTCCTGCGTGAGCTCGGCCCTGTGTAGAGCCTGCATGTGGGCACTCGGATGGGTGGATGAGCAGACGCGCAGAGTTGGACTTAGAGTGGTTCTCAGAGCCCAGCCCCTCGGCCTCAGCCCGGCAGGAGGCACTTGCTGCTCAAAGGCAGGACGGCCGTGGCAGTGGGCGTGCGGGACACACATGTCCGCGCAGAGCTGGCAGCAGTGCCCGGGCAGGGGGGGGTCCATGGTAGCTGCTGAGTGCTTCCTCCCATCAGAGGCCATGGGCAAACGCTGTGTCAGGGAGAGGGAACCAGGCAGGTAGCGCCGTGAACAGGGGCCGGCTAGGACTCCGGGTACACAGGCTCCAGGACAGACGCTGCTCGGGTTACACTCGCCAAGCCCCAGACAGGCGAGAAGTAGGCCACACAGCTGCCCGGACACATGCCCATTCCCCGTGGTGGAACCGGAGCCGTCGGTCGTGCCTCTCCGCCCTCCCCATGCCGCCCAGCCTGCTGCCCACACTCCCGTGGACACGTGGGACCTTGCTCAGCTTTTGGCCACAGCTGTGCTTGCTGGTCCCGGTTACCAGTCCAGTACGGCGAGGGCAGAGTGGAGGGCCCCGGTCACAGCCGCGGTGCTCTACCAGACCTGTAGGCCACGTGTCAGGACGTAGGCATGGGTGCACCAGGCTGGCTGCCGGTAAAACTTGATTCACAAAAGCAGCGGCAGAGGACAGTGGCGCTCGGGCAGGGCAGTCCTGTGGGCCACCTGATCCCGTCGGCAGCTCGGCTGATCAAGCGGTCAATAAAACCACCCCAGGGAACCAGCAGTTAGCCTAACGGCTATGTCGCTGGACTCCCACGTAGTCAACCATGGTTCATGTCCCAGACCCGGTGACTTAAAACTCACGCCAGGCGCGTGTGTGTGTGTGCCCAAGATCCTGAGAGGAGAACGGAGGAGAAAGGATTGCAGTGTGACCATCGCCCCTGGGGGGTGATTTCTCGCTTTCTGTCTCTGTCTCTCTCTCTCTCTGTCTGGCGAGCACACGTGCCCTATAGCGAAAAACCTCTCCAAAAAAAATAATAAAACCACGCCACGCGGGTGTGGCATGCAGAGCTGAACTGCGGCCTCGTCTTCCATGGTGGGCACGTGCTTCCTCTTACCTCCTGTTCTGGCCAGGCCATCTCCAGGCCCCTGGCCTCTGCCCTGCCCCATGGTTGCTGCCCAGGGCCCCCCAGGTCAGGGTGGGGCGTGGCAGGGAGCCAGGGAGACGGCCTGGGGCCTCCGGCTGCTCAGGCTCTTGCTCTTTGCAGAGTCAGGCCACAGGTGTGTTTTTTCTTTAAGGTTTTCTTTGGGAGCCAAGTTCCTCAGGACCTGATCCACTGTGTGAAGGGGCGGTAGCAGGTGATGAATAAAACATGCTCTTTCACTGCCCCATGGGGAGACAGCAGTGTTTTCTGGACCCGTATTAAAAATTAAAATGAGGAGCCGTCCCTTCTCAGGGCTCTGCATCGTGAAAGCGGCTCAAGCCCCCGCATGGCCCGCCAGCCCCCAGGCCCGCTTTCTTCCTCTTGTTAATCCCATCAGGAAAATATGGCCTGGTTCACAGCCTCTGCTCAGAGGGCCCCCAGGGTCGGCTAACAACCCAGCAATGGAATCAGGAGCTGGGGCTGCAGCCAGAGCTGACGCAGGGCTCCCACGGGGCAGGGCTTCATGGAGCAGCGCACTGGCAGAGAGGACAGCCTGGTCCTGCCGGCCGGGCCCCAGGACGCGTGCCCGCTCACCCGTGCAGCCTCCTAACCGGGGAGGAAGGAGGCGGGGGCCGAGGGGCTTGCCTGGCATCAGGGCCTGGGTGGCTCCAGGCCCTGAAAGGCAGCCTTAGCGGGCTCCTCACGTGCACCTTCCCGTCCTGCTCACATTGGTCATTCCATCAGCCAGGGGCATCCTCTCTGACCTGTGCACTGCCAGCTGACCACACGTTTCCTGGGCACATGGAAAACACTCGTGGCAGGATTTTTGACCATGAGGCCTGAAAGGGCCACTGGAGTCATGGGTCTGTAGGGCCGGTGACTGCAGGAAGCACACATGACAGTTTTTATTAGGTCATCAGAAAGTCGTGACACATTTTCCTGCTTTTCTCTGCAAAACTGCGGCATGACTTTCCCGGTGACCCAAGAGAATCTGCTGCGAGCCCACTTCACCCAGCCAGAGGCTCCCACACCGGGCCGATGGCTCAGCTGGGGAGTGGGTGGACCAGTGTAGAAGCCGGTGGACTTGGAGACAGGACACGCGTCTGTCCCAGGCCTGCACCCCAGTTCCTGAGATTCGAAAGCAGCCGAAGCCCATCCTCCTCTCTGACTTTCACTCCTGCCTGACTCTCTCACTGCTGCCAAGTCTTCACTAGTCCCTCGGGGCCCAGGGTCACTTGAAATTAAGCCATTAACATCCAAGCAGCAGCAGAGGTGGCTCGCTGTTGGGAGGAAGCCAGGCAGGGCCCAGGGCCCAGGAAGCCCTCGGAGCATGTCGGAGTTGGAGGGCATCCTGGTGCCATGTCCCACTGACCGCAGCTGGTGCGTCTTTGCTCACTGGGCACACACCGAGGGGAGAGCCCCGCCGCGTGGTGCTGCCCATCATGCAGTCCTGCATGCCTCTCACTGTGGCACCAGGAAGGCCAGGCCACCTGGAGCCGTGCTCTGCTGGCTGTCAGTTTGGCGTCTTCTCCATCTGGCCCCTAGGAGGAAAGCGTGTCTGTAGAACTGTCTGTTCTTCCACTGGCGCGGGAAGTCGCGGTGGCCGTGGGACCCGCACTCTGTTACCGCAAGTGTCTATCTACTTCCGGCAAGGTGCCAGGCGCCCTGTCTCTGGCTGTCTGCAGGTGCAGACAGTCTTGGGGTGGCCAGGCCCAGCTCCCTTCCCTGCCCTGTGGGTGCTCCTGCTGTCCTGGGTGCCCGGGCCGAGCTCTGAGCCTGCCCTAAGGGGATGCTTCCCATCCGGCTCACCCCGGGAAGTCAGCGGATGCTGGCCGATACGGGATGAGCCCAAAGCTGCCACGGTATATGATATGCCCCAGCAAAGCCGACCGTCCCAGCTGGCGTCCCCTCTGCCCAGCAGGCAGGGACCAGCCCTCTCCTCTCTCCTGGCCAGATGTGTTCCTCCATCCCGTTGAATTACAGCTGAGGGGCCCGAGGACGCTGGGGAGGTAGACCCTGGCAGGGTGGGCTCTGGGTACAGCATGGCTCTGAGTGGTGCCGCCTCCACCCTTGCTCTGCACGTGCAGGCTGGTGTTAGCTGGCCTGGTGCTTCAGGAGGGTCCGTTTCCACGTGTGAGCACAGCAGAGGCAAGGACCTGGGCTCCGTCTGGGCCAGCCATCTTGTGTACCCGCTGTCCCCACTGCCCAGTGCCAGCTTGGAGCGGTCACCATGGCCAGGCCATGTGGGATGCCTCCAGCCTGGGGCAGCCATGCTACAAGGCCACACCCTGCCCCTTACCCTCCACTCCTGGCGTCCCCACAGACCCACCATCGGTTAGAGCCTGATTTTCAAACAGACCCCACGTTGTTGAACCCATCGCGGAAAACGTTAGAAAACCATGTCACATCCCTTGCTGTCAAAACATGAGAAATCTGACCATAAAGATGAGACAATGCTAATAATATAACCCCAAATCCAGCTCCCCGGAGGCCTCATGGCATCGCTTGGTGTGTGTTTCCAGACCTTGGGTTGGGAACATGTGTGCACTGTTTACAGCAGGCCCAGCCTCCACGCCCACGCCGTGTACCCCAGACCTTCACGCCCATGGCATGGAACGGCATGTGACCTCCTCGTCCTCCTGAGCCACCCAGCCCCAGACCGCGGACGCCGGGGCAGCTTCCGCAGCTCAGACCGCGTATTATAGATAGTGCTGCCGAGAGCTCCTGTCTGCACCCTCGGGCTATTTCAGTCTGATCCGTTCCTATCAGGAAACGGCTGGCCTCCAGGATCTTCTCCACACCCTTCGCTATCCCCCCTCCCTCCTTCCGTTCCCTCCACTGCCGTCTTCCTTCTGCCTCACCCAGAGCCTGGTCTCCATGCCCACATAGCTAGGATCTGGGGCTCGATAGGAGCCCCGCTTTCCCTAATTTGTAAACTGGGGCAGCGCACAGGGTACAGCCCCCGAGGAGCTCAGTACACGAAGGCGGTGCCCCACAGGCTCGCTGCGAGGCCCCAGTGAGGCACTCTGGGCCATCGTCATCCCTCCAGGAGGGGTGGCCATCTGCCCCTGCCGCTGTGCTTGGTAGCAGCCTCCACCCCGCCACCACACTCCTACCCAGGCCGAGCTTCCTCGGTGCCTCCGGACAGTCCCATGAAGCCTGAGCATTCCCCCAGGTGCTTTCCAGGCCTCTCTGTACCCCAGGGTGGAGAGCAGGCCCTCACGGTGGCCCAGTGCCATTCAGACACTGTCCCCTGCTTTCTAGCCCGCCGTGCCATTCACGTTCAGGCACCGAGGCGCAAGCACTGGGGGCCAGGGCTACCTGCTCTTCGGGTGCCTGCTATGAGACTCTGCTGTCTCTGCTTCCAGAGACCTTTGCCCACCTGAGGATGCTCCTGCTGACCTGCACCAGCTCCTGCTCCCCAACTGTCCCTGCCAAGTCCCAGCAGCTGTCCCCTGCTCACCTGGCCCCAATTTCTGCTGGGACTCCGTCCTGCCCCTTGCTGGGCTCCCTCGAGGCAGGGAGGAGCCCCTGACCCCCTCTGCCTAGAAGAGGCAGCCCCTTTCCCTCCAGTACCCCAACACCCCTCTGCTGATTCCCGGGCTGCCCTAACTGCTATTCTCAGAGAGCTTCAAAGCAGCAGAAAGTCATTCTCTCCCAGACCCAGGGGCCAGAAGTCTAAAATCAAGGGGTCGGCAGGGGCTCCTCTTAGAGGCTGGGGTTGGGGGACATATCTCAGACCTGTGCTTGGCATTTCTCGC